GCGCTCACCGCCGGGCACCCGCATTTTGCGCAAAATGTTTTTTTGGATTTCGTCCTCAAATCTCATTGCTGTTTGAAGGACAAAGACTTGTGGGATTCGCGCGAACATAGCCAAAGCAGCTTTGTGTTCATGTCCTCCAACATCTGGCGTCGCAAGTAATGAAGAAGTTTTTGGGACAGGTGGAAGTTGTAAATGATCGCCTGAGAGAAGCATGAACGAGACACGGCCAAAGAGCTGTGTCGGCTGCGCGTACCGTGCCAAATCTAATTGGAATTGATCAGCTCGGATCGATGTGGCCCGCAAGGAAGCAGCGTGAAATAAAGTTGTTGGAACCTGTGACCACTCGTCTATGATCACAGCCCCCGCCCGCCCCAGGGTGTTTTGAAGTTTTTTCTGTCTGCATGCCGTCGGACACACAAGTGGTAAGACTTTAAGCTATCGTTGGCACGGACACCAATTAGGTTATGTATTGTCTTACCGCCGATAATTCTGGCAGCCTTGTTGGAGGGAGCCGCGAGCTGCACATTGTGAGCCCCAAAATAAACATTCAGCAACGGTTCTAAGACCTGGACAATTACAGTGGTTTTTCCACAGCCCCCGCCGCCGACAAGGAGAACACGAACCAGACCTAGGTCGACCGGCAAGGTGTACACAGATGTATCTTCTCGGTTTCGCCACGCAACTTCAAGTGGATTCACTAGAAGGGCCAACAAGTCCAGCTGCTCCTGGTTGAAAGGAAACTTATCAATGAGAGATTTGGCATACGCTGCAGGACCTTTCCACGCTAAAGGAACGTCAATTTCTGTGACTTGTGCCTCGTCGCGGTTGGCGTTCCTGTCAAAAAGCTCTTCCAGCTGTTGCACAGCCATTTCAGGCGTAAGGTTCTCCGATGCTGGGCAACTTGTCGTGGCATCGGACTGAAGCATTTCTTTGCGGAGAAGTTTTGCTACAGCTGCCTGGTGCGATTTCGCGTTTTGTGGCAGGCAGTGCGTTGGTAAAATGGGTATTCTGCGTCGAAGTTCGCTGCTATCAGCAGGAGGTCCTACCATCATATGTTTGTAGATATCTGCAAATTGTTTGATGTGAAGATCTCCTTCTCTGTGCTTCCCAGGTTTTTTTGTTCGTTCAAGTTCCTGCTCACGTGAAAGAATTTGTATGCAGTCACTCAAGGTGAAAGACACTTTGGTTTGCGAATGCAACTCCTCATCGAAGCTATCTTCGTCATCTGGTGGGGCCTCTCCGTCGAACGCTGGATTTTGCCCTTGGTCAGGAGAATGCTGGCCGTCACTTTCAGACACTTGCTCGTGCACCGGACCACTTTTTGTGCGCGCGCTTCGTAGAGGCTTGGTTTGTGCGATTTGCTGTGACAGAAAGTTCTGGTAGTTTTGCTGGCTTTCGATTGCGGCAAACTCTTCCAGCGTCAGTTGATGCACATGTGCTCCAGATTGCACTCCCAAAATGTCGCACATGTTTTGGAACACGTAGCCCGGGAATTCCGAAAAAGAAGTGCGGCAAAGTTGCATCAAAGTTGCGCGCAACAACTGGGCATGCCTGTCATCCCCGCTCCTCCAGGGAGGCTTGCGTTCCACCAGCTTTTGGCAACAGTGGTGTCGAAAAGTACGGCGATTTTCTCGGCGGATGCTATTTTTTGTTGGGCTCGATTTGCTACCAAGTTTATCGCAGCTCTTCTAGCCTTCCAGTTTGCAACGAAGGAAAATTTTTGTTTGCCGATTTTTACGCATGTGAGAGCAGGGCGGCAGTTTAGGGGGTCTGTGCAGCAGGTAAGGCCCTGGCACTTCATAGGCAAAAACAACATCGAAAAATATGCGGCATCAGCTTCTGCATCATCCAACGATGGCGGCTTCGGGCCGACAATTCGGGGTACGGTGATCTGCAAAGCAAAACATTGGCAATACAACGCGTGCATTTGGTAGTGCGGGTCAAATTCAAACATGATTTCATGATCTTTGGGCTTCAGAGGTTTGCGAACACGACGTACTCGAGAAGCATAGACAAACAGGGGCATTGGAGCCAGCCATGGCCCTCGGTGAAGATAGTCGTCATGCAATGTTGTGGTGGTGCGTAATACAGTTTTGTCCCAATGTTGGTTGCGGTCTTTTTCCGCGTCCTGCTGTTCTTCATCCTCGACAGCCGTTTCTTCAGGATCTTCTTTTGCAGAGTCATCAGCCAAGCTAGCTCCGTCTTCAGAGTCTGAAGCATTCAATTCAACTGCAGCAATGGGGACGAAGTTGTCGTGCAGAAGAGGGCTCGGTGTATTTTCTAAGAGACGCCGGCATTGTTGCATCAAAAACCAAGGTCTTGAAAGAAAGAGGACAACTTCAGCATGAGTAGCCCAGCAGTGACCTGCGCACAGAATGGTGGTCGCCAACTCTGTCGAAGATACCCAGGTGCTGCGGTTCGCAGCGGCCGCAAGCCTGACAATCACCCGCTTGGCACGGTATTGGGGTGTCCAAACCTCAGCTTTGCTTTCTTCCTCCTCCAATCTTCTGATGCCAACAGCAAATTGAGCCACTGCCGACTGCATTGCCTCCATGGGTTTTGTGCTGTATTTTGTGATGTAGTGGTCAGTATTGAAAGATGCGACGTGCAAAGCAATGACATTACGAGCAAACAAGCGCAGCTCACGCGAATCATGTTTGTGCATGCTAGCGCGGCTCATGCCCATGACATGCCCAAGGCAGCTATCATCACAAACAAGTGTTATCTTATTGTCATCTTCATCAACTACAAACCCTCGGATTAGAAATTTGAAGTCGCAATTGCAGCGGCAGGAAACCATTGTCACGTCTGAGGTCGCGGAACGAAATGGATGAGCCCGTTGCACTTGAACTAAGCCACTTTCGTTAGGATCCACAGAATCCAGTATATTCGTCTCTGACACTGGCATTTTCCCGCGACGGCGGAATGTTCTTCCAGAAATTTTAACTGTGTGATAAAACGAAAACCGACAGTCGGGCGCACGGCTGGGCTTCAAGAGCTGCCTTTTTTCTTGCGCTGTTTTTTTGACGTGTTTCAAGCATGTTACACTGCACTCATGGTTGTGCGTGGCAATGTGCAAGAAACGAAAATCTTCAGCAAAGCGTTGCTCCCACCTATGGGCCTCTGCAAGAAAAGTGTCAAAGTTACAGGCATCTTCACCATCAGGGCAAGCAACCTTGGTAATGACGCCAGACTCATCACAATCTACGGAAAATGAAAGTGGGCCCTTCCAGGCTGCAGCCTGTGGAATTATACAAGGCAACTTGTATTCTGGCAGCGTGCTCAATTCGGCACCTGTCAATGACGCCTCTTTGAAGAAATTTGCTGGTGGGCGTTGCTGCTGCTCGCTTGCAGCGATTTCGCGCTCCACGTGCTTCAAGCGTTCTGCCGCCACAACAGGCAACAACAATCTTTGAGTGACCTCATCAGCTTCTAGTCCGCCATCAAATTTTGTTTGTTTTTGCTGAAGAGCACTGAATGGTTCTGGCTTCATTTTGATGCCAGCTTGTTCACCCACCAAGGTCGACTTCTCGTACTGCAATGTGTTGACTTGGGAGATCAGCTTTGCATTGCGCTGCAGCATTTTGGCACTCAAACTTTTCGGGGACAAGTCACCATCTTGAATTTGCATGCTTGCAAGAAACCCAGGAATTGCGCGGACCAAACGGTGTCCATGCTGAAACCCTCGCCCTTGGGCTTCAAGAGCTTCAAGGATCGCCAACGCAAATCCAGCAACGCCAGGAACACTGCTAGAAGCAAAGTCGTCTTCGATACTCGATTGGCCTACGGCTCTGGCTAGTTTGTAGATGCCCAGACCAATGGAATCAACACCATATATATGTCTAAAATTTAGCTCTTCCATGAGCAAGAAAAACTTTGCAGTACAAGCTGGATGAGCCGCAGTCAGTTCGTGCATTTTTTGGAGAGGCGGCATCTCGGGCGTGTCTTTCAAAAACTCAGGGCCAAGATTTTCACAAAGTTGACGCATCAGTGGGTTGTAGGTGTCACCATAATTATGTGTGCAAAACACAGTGGTTGGTCCGAAACAATGAGTCAGCGATTGCCCAAAATGCCTTAGCCGTACTTTGTACCCCTCTGTCAAAGGCACGGTGGCGGTTGAAAACAACATATGCCGCAGAGCTGCTCGAACTTTTGGAGGCGTTGCTGCATTTTGTATTATTTGTCCGACGCTATTGCCGCACATCTCTCCTGCAGCTGCGGCCAGAAAATCGGTTGTTTGCGAAGAAGCAATTGTCTTCAAGTCCTTCTCGAAGCCTTGCCTCTGAAACGACGCGTTTACTGCTTGCAGTGTTTTCATTTTCCGAAGAATGTCTCCAAAAAGGGCAGCAAATTCTGGTGAATCAAAACGAGAAACTGCACGGGCTTGGTACGGCTCAACATCATCAGAACAAGAATACGCTATCTCTTCGCGCTGCATCAGTGCAGAAAACAAGCTTTGGTATGTCACTGTGGAATTTGGGCGTCCCGAGAGGCCAGGCACTGCGTCTCCATAGTAAAACTCGACAAAGCAGCTTGGAAAGCTTCTGGGGTCAAAGGAGCTTAAGACTGTCGTTGTTGGCACTGCCAAAGCGTCGATGTGTATTTGACCACCCTTTTCGAAAAATCAGCAGTCACCGAGGTCTGGAGCAAACTTGCTGCCACGTCGTCCAAATTTTTGGCTTCTTTCAATAGTTTCCTCATCGTGTCTTGTAAATCGATCACAAGGCGTTGACAAGTTTCTTGCTGACCTACTTGTCGCACAGTGGCTGAAACGTTTTCCCAAGCACCACTTTGGTTGGTCTTAACTTTTGCAACTTCTTTTTGAAGATGTTCCAATTTTTTTGCATCGCTTGAAAAAGTTGCGCCGGTTTCGGGAATTGCTCGTAATCAATGGCAATCATAAATTCAGGGCTTTTTTGAGATTCATGAGTGGCACGCTCATGGCCTTCATCTGCGCAGGCCGGCGCATCGTCATGGACAGATTCATCATCATCAGACTCTTCAGCAATGTTGCCATCGGTATTGGACGGAGGCGCTGTCACGGGCAGGTCGCCCGGCCCTTGCATACGCTGCAAAAATGTTGATTCCGGAAGATGTATGGCATGTTCGATAAATTCGTTTGGAACCCCTTCGACTGGCAGCTTCTGAACGGCATCTTGATCAATATCGGTGTCAAAAAACACAGGGCAATGTTTCTTTCTCAAGCGCAAGCAGTCCACAAACTCTGCGCGGTTGACGGTTAATGCCTTACAGGTTTTGACTTCCTCGACACTTCTTGTGAAAACAATCACCAATTGATCCAAGACTTTGTTCAAAGATGGTAAGATCTGTGTAGTCTTTGCTTCGGCCTGCGCTAGAAGAATGGTGTTGCCCACCAAGCCTTTATAGGACTCCTTGGCCGTCGAAGGCCCTAAGAAAATCTGCCGCATGACGGGACGGCCTTTGCCGAGGAGCAATTTGGTACCCAAAGTAAGTTTTTGGTAAAGGGGTTGCTCACGCCCTAACCAATTCATGTTAGACAAAGCCAACGGTGCCATTGTTGGGCCAGAAACTTGACAAAAATGTTCCAGGCATGTTTTGCAGGCAAAACAAGTTTCGTCCTTTTTGCCAACGCCTGCACACATCACGTTTCCCGACGCTTGGCAAGGAATTTTTGGAACCCTTCTGCAATGGAGAAGCCAATGCATATTTGCGTGATCCGGATGTCGAACTGCTGAAGCGTAGAGTTCTTGCAAGGGTATGTGCGGTTGTAACTTTGAGTATGCTTCCACTGCAAGTAGCGCATTCACTTTTTCTGCCGGCCCAACACAAAACTTGCCGTCAGCAGTAAACAGCAACAACCCTTGATCGCGCGCGTTCGTTTCTTTCTGCTGGTTGTAAAAATGCTGCTTCCATGACATGGAGCCTGTGGGTTCTTGAAACAAAAAGACTTCGAATCTATTTTCGGGATAGTCACGAACACAGCAAAACACACAAGCATGCAAAGATCGTGGCTGAGCATGGTCAAATGTACCTGCTAACCATTCATTATGATGTCCTGGCGTGGCATATCTTTGAAAGAATGCAAAATTTTGAATCAGACTTCTTTTGACCCAAGGTTGCATTGGTTGAAAGTTTGCTTGCTGTGCCTTAAAAAAGACCTTTTTGCGGTACTCTGCAAAGTTAGCATGTTTGTCGTCACAATGCTTGCAGAGCGCATCCATGCTAACAAGTGATGCGTGGCACAACTGGCATGTCACAGGCGCTGGGGCAAAGGCAGCTGAAGGCGTGGTCGAATCAGGCTGTAAGTCTGTGATGTGCGCTGGTAAGGCGTGCGCTTCCAACTTGTCTTTGCAAAAAATGGCATCTCCCGGTATGTATGTCCTTCGTTTTTGGAAAAAAGGCGTCCACGCAGATATTTTGTTCATGCGAGAGAGGCCGGCCACGATTTTCGAATGATACACACAAATGCTGCAAAGTAGCAGGGTGTCGATGTTTTCCGGCTGCAAAGAATGCTCTTGTAAAAATTCAAACGCTGCGGTAACCAAAGTCGAAATGCGATTTTCCACGCTGTCTTCTGGGCCAACATGTGGAAATAGAAAGCGCCTATTTGCATGGAGATTGAAAGTGGAATGCGAATATGCAAGCAAATTGTTTGTAACTACCTGCTTTGCCGCTGTAACACTTTCACTTTTATTTAGGTGAGCTCGGCCCACGCGGTTCTGTATGACCAAGTTGAAGACTTCGGACAAATTCAACGGCAAATCGCAATAGTGAAGATCCTGGAGCTCAATTAAAGCCAAATGCCGAAAAAACTGCGAAGCTGAGGGACGCAAAAATGGACATGCACTTGGCCAGCATCCGAACAAACATTCTGGCCTCTCTTCTCTCAAAAGTTTTCCTAGGTCTGCCAGGTTGGTCGGAATCAAAGAACCATACAGAGCTTGGTTTTGAGCACACGGTGCTTCCATGAGAAAAGCACTAAGTTCGAAGTGCAAAAACTCTGTCGCCAATCTTGTTCGCGCACTGTTAAGGGTGGAAATACGGTTGCTCAAATGAGCATCTTTCCACCAAGCTTTGTCCTGTTGCATTTTTTGGGGCAACCCGCGCTTGGTACAAGAGTTGGCAGCAATAAAACAACGTTTGCGCAGTTGAGCTTCAGCAGGGTCATTTGAAGAAAGGCATCGGAACTTTGCAAAAAGACTTGCTTGCCACCAATATTTGTTGCGTTGTTGGTTCTGATAGACGCCGCCGCTTGGAAACACGCCTGGGTTAGGAGGATCGGTCTCCACTGGATCAACAACTTGTTCGTGTGGCGGCTTCATTGCTTTGAGTTGTTCCAACACGTTTTGTTGTGACATCGCGGTGCCTGCTGCCCTTTGTTTTTTCGAAGGTGGCTTCATAGCTTCGCAAGATGTGCGCTTTTTGTTTGCCATCGTTTTTGCTTCTGCGGTGCAAGCTGGCTCAGAAACAGCAGGCGCTCTAACGTGTGCGCCAGATCTCCCCGTAGAAGGTTCTCCAAACGAACTGCCCGAAGCATTGTGTTGCCCCACCGGCTGTGTCGCGCTTTCGAAGATCCGTTGCAGATTTTCCTTTTGCTTTCCAGAAGGCATGTTCTGCAAAAGGAAAGACCATTGTTGCGAAGTATCTAAACCTGCAATCCAGCTGTAATGCTTGTCATTCATTCCTTCCGTCATTGTGTTTTCGACCACACCCAGTGTTAAAAGTGCTTCCACGACAGCATTCGGCACCATGATTTTGTGATCAAAAACATTGCCCGGCCGCACTAGAAAGGAAAAACCTTGAGTCAAGCCTGGCTTGGGGTTCCTTTCTTCGACATTTGCTAGTTCGTTTCTTACCGTGGGCGAGGTTGTCAAACAGGCGGTATTTACCATGTTCACAAATGTGTTCAAACACGCTTCTTTGCAGTCTGAAACATTGGTTCGTGGTAGCGCCCATTTGCTCGCAAGTTTTCGCCAGCTGTTCACATCGCCTCTTTCCGCCTTTTTGGTAAACAAGTAACAAAACTCCTCCAAGTTTTTCTGTTGAGGATGCGTTTGGAAATGTGCTTGGTTCTGGTTCATCAATGTCTGCGCTGCTGCAAAGCGGTCTTGCTCACTCATGCTTTGACTTGCAGGCTGCAGCTGGCGGTGATCTTCCGTCAGGACAGGCTGCTCAGCAGCAACGTTGTGTTCCCTATGAGTTACTACGTTTGCGGAAGTCAATTTAGCCATGTGTTCACGGACGAATCGCAAAAGCCTCTGCAAACACTGTTCTTTCATTTCGTCCAACTTCTGCCTAGGAAGCGCCCACGCGGTGGCAAGCTTTTTCCACATATCTGCATCCCCCCTTGTGGGACTCTTACTGCGAAGGCGGCAAAATGTCTGCATGTTTTGCCACTGCGTATGTGATTCGAAATGCAATCTGTGCGCGCTCAACGCCCTTTCCGCTTCTTCAAAAGTGAGAATGTCGGCGACACCGCCGCGCAGAGGATTAACCACCACTCGGAACATTGAATGTTTAGGCATGTTGGACACAAGCGTTTGCATGGACATGCAAGTTCCATCGACTAAGAGCTGGCTTTGGTCTAGTAAAAATACTGGAATGCGTGTAGATAACACCGCATAGACCGTGGTGGCTGGGTCTGGGGCAGTGATAATGTGAAGTTTGTTGTGGAAAGGATGCGCAACCCATAGCTTAGAGGACATACCGTTTTTTTCACCTTTTGGTGGCTCATGTGCTGGTGGTGCAGGATGCGATAATACACCCTCCAGAGGTACACGCTCACAAACTGAAGAGTTGACCCTGATGTCATCAAGATGCAAAAGAACTGGGTACAGCCAAGCCACCATCGCCAAAGAAAATTTGCATTGCCAGAGGCCAGGCACGTTTCCCGCACTTGCAAAATCAACCGTAACATTCTCAGAGCTTGGTTCACAGGCCTTGGGAAACCAAACTGGCGGTGGCTACAAAGCACAAAAGGAATCCAAGGCGTGACAAATGCCCAAACCCAGAACACGATTGGATATGTAATGACTGCACTGGAGCAACAAATGTGAACCGGCCACTCTCTCAAGCAAAGGGCAGCAAGCAAAGCTTTCCTTTTTGAGAAAACATGCTCAATACCCACAAGCTCGTAAGCATCATGCGGCCCCGTTATTTCTTGATGGTCAAAAACAGGCTTGTGAAGTGAGTTGAAAACATGGGTGCCAATGGCTTTCAAAATCATCGGCAGCAAAAATTCTATTATGTTCAGCTTTCTGGTTTTCAATGTGCATCTGCACTTCCATCCTGTCAGTTTTACTTGCAACTGTTCATCCTCAACAGCAATTTGTCGACAAATTGGCTTTTGCAGCCAGTGTCCACAGTGTTGAGATTTGGAACGATACCTCCTTTTCCCGATTTTGTTCGCCTTTCGAATTGTGATGTTACATCGAATGCAACACCAAGAAGCAGCGGACAACCCAATGAGGAAAAAACAAATCAATATATGCCAAATGCCCATGGCCCACTTTGACGGCCGCCCTCAGATAACATATATTCCTGATGCTGACACAGTTGTTTGTAAACCAGTGCTCCTGTATTTCAGCACAAGCTGTTTGTTTTGAATCAACGATGGAACCGAAGCCCTAAAGGGACCGTGTTTCAGATAATCATGTGTGGCATGACTTGGTGACAGTAACTTGCAGGTAGGTCCATGTTTGACATCCAATGAGCTGAGAACAGGTTAGACTCCTCTGAGCAGAACGGCAGAGACGCGACCAATTTTCAATGCGCAGGCGCTAAAAGAGCAAAATAACTTGCTGATAATCCACGTCTGGGGGGCGAAGGCACACGTGAAAGAACGACTGGTTTTGGTTATTGGTCCGCTTTCAAAGCCTTGAAACAGGAAAACCTCACATCAGGGAGTCGCGCCGCCGCTAAGCACAAGCGAAGAAAATCTTACCAGGTTTAATGCGCAGGCGCAAAACAAGCCAAATCCACCGACCCCACTCGTGGGGTCAGGCGCGACTGTTGATTAAGGCCAAGGCGATGATTAAGGCTAAGGCTATGATTAAGGCTATACCTCCCCTACCCCTCCGGAGCCTTGTTGGAGTGACGAAAAATAGCCAAGAATTGTCCAAGATTTCTCCAAATGTATTGGTTTGCTTCTTACTGGGGATTGGGGCACCCTCTCCACCCGCGCGGGAAAATAAGCACGGTCCCTAAATGGTGCGGGCTCGAATCCCGGGCTGGTCGCGGCCCTTGGTTTTCCTAGATGTTGTAACGTTTTCCGCTGGATTTCGAGGATTTTCAAAGGTTTTTGTAACATTTACTCATGCCTTTCATGCCTTTTTCGAGGGTTTTCCAAGATTTTCTCTGGTTTGGCTCCGTGTTGTTTTTGGGTTCCCAGATTTTCAAAAAAATGCTAACCCATTTGTCGTGCTCTCTTCTGCATACTTTGATGATGCAGTGACAGATCATGTCTCTAGGGGTTCCGTGTTGTTTTTTGGGTTCCCCGATTTTTCGAAAAAGCTTGTAACCCATTTGGCTGCCTGTGGTCTGGCCCCTGGGGGTCGGCGGCTGCAGGCGCCGACCCCACTCGTGGGGTCAGGCGTGACTGTTATTAAGGCTACGGCTATGATTAAGGCTAAGGCTATGGTTAAGGCCATACCTCCCCTACCCCTCCGGAGCCTTGTTGGAGTGACGAAAAATAGCCAAGAATTGTTCAAGATTTCTCCAAATGTATTGGTTTGCTTCTTACTGGGATTGGGGCACCCTCTCCACCCGCGCGGGAAAATAAGCACGGTCCCTAAATGGTCCCGGGCTTGAATCCCGGGCTGGTTGCGGCCTGGTCCCTGCCAGTGCCCTTAGTTTCTCCTAGATGTTGCAACGTTTCCCGCTGGATTTCTAGGATTTTCAAAGGTTTTTGTAAGATTTATTGTAAGATTTACTCATGCCTTTCATCCTTTTTTCGATGGTTTTTCCAGGATTTTCTCTGGTTTTTCTAGGTAGTTCTGTGGTTGTCTATGTTTTTGGGGTTCCCAGATGTTCAAAGAAAAATGCTAACCCATTTGCCGTGCTCTCTTCTGCCTACTTTGGCGATGCAGTGACAGATCATGTCTCTAGGGGTTCCGTGTTGTTTTTTGGGTTCCCCGATTTTTCGAAAAAGCTTGTAACCCATTTGGCTGCCTGTGGTCTGGCCCCTGGGGGTCGGCGGCTGCAGGCGCTAGCCTGGTAAACAATTTGCAGGTAATCCATGTCTAGGGGCCAAGGGATGAAAAAACTGAAATCCGACAGCAGGGTAGGGCACACCAAGTGCCTGGCCAAAGAAACGATTGGTTTTGGTTATTGATCCGCCTTCAAAGCCTTGAAACCGGGAAGCCTCACATCAAGGAATCGTTGAACAAATTCCTGGTCGAAGGGTTCCATCATGTCGCACCGAAAAAGAATACCTTGCCTGCATTGGCGCAACAAAAGACCTTCGCAGTGATCGTTTGCCTGCAAGGATGCGCGCAGAAACACTTCAAGGATCCTGCAAGGATGGCTCTGCAAAACGAATTGTTTCTGGTGGCGCTAAGCCTGGACGGTCAGTCGCATGCACAGAGGCGGGCTATTCAGCAAAACACCATGTTTTTGCCACAAAACCTGAGAAGCTGCAAAACGAAAGCCAGCGCTTCCCTTTCTCGACAACTGCGCGTCGAAGTAATCAAATGAGCTCGCGCAGCCGCTTGCGGCCGCGTGTCAAATCTGCTTCATGTCTTGTTCTGCCCACACATAGGTAACCATGCAAAAGCAAAAAATGCACTCTTGCATCACCACCCGCTCCAAAATCACTAAAACATCACCTCCAAGAGTTTACGTATACCTTTCTCGGGCCACCCCCCCCCGACCCCCGACCGACTTCACACATAGATAATTCCCATTTTCAGAATCTTCTGGATTTGAGCTGTTCGAGTTCCGATTGAAGGGTATAGTTGGCGAGTGCGTCACCACCCGCTCCAAAAGCATCAAAGCATCACCCCCAGAGTTTACGTATATCTTTCTCGTGCCACACATGCACAGCAAACCACAGCTTTGAAGTCTCATTCGTGCTTTGAACTTGTATAGGTGTGTAAGAGGTATAGCAACATAGCATTTTTACGAACCCAGGGTAGCAAGATTCTCTGGCCGAACTGCGCTTCAGAAATTTGGCGGGCAGTAAGGTAGCAAGATTCTCTGGCCGAACTGGGTTTCAAAACCCGTGGCGGGCGCTAAGGTAGCAAGATTCTCTAGCCGAACTGGGTTTCAAAAATTTGGCGGGCAGTATGATAGCCAGATTCTCTAGCCAAACTTGGCTTCAGACATTTGGCGGGCAGTAAGGTAGCAAGATTCTCTGGCCGAACTGGGCTTCAGAAATTTGGCGGGCAGTAGGGTAACCATATTGAGGCTTGGTTACATGGTTGGTTTCCAAAAGTTCTTTTCCCAAAATGGTGCTTTTATTGCAATTCCATGGGGGCCCGCTTCTAAATCTCCGTTAAACTCCAACGACACTTAAACCACAGAATGTTAAACATGAAGGCACGTCATCAACTGCAAAAACTGTGAGGAATCTCTAGCGCGAACCTTTTCAGGAGCCTGTTCAGCTGCTGGAGATGCTGTTGTTGATGCTACTGCTGCTGCTGCTGCTGCTGCTAGACTTCTGCAGCTGTTTCCAAGTTTTAGTTCGCAGGAAATCTTCGAATGACATAGGAAGGACGTAAGAGCTGACTCAAAAGATTTGGGTGTTGGATGGGCAGATGGTCAAGAAATGGACCGTCGTCTAGCGCGGTGCTAGCGGCTAGCTAGCGCGGAGCTAACGCCAGCCTGGCTCGAAAATGTCCGTCGATTTCTTTATCCTGTCAGATGCTTATTTTTTCCTGCTTGCTTGTCTTCTTCTTGTTGCGCATTCTTCTTCTTATTCTTTTTTGTTTTTCCTTTTCTCTGTTTGTTTTTTCTTCTTCCTCCTCTCTGTATGTTTTTTCTGCTTGCTTATCCTGCTATGAAGAAACCTAGCGCCAACCTGCGCCAATCTAGCGCTGCCTTGCTGTATCACCATAGTCTGCTGGGGGCCCGCTTCTAAACGAAGATTTAAAACCGCATCTCCAACCTTTTTTGAGTACGGCTTTTTGAGCGCAGTCCGCGTGCACTTTTAGTCTCATGAGCCACTCTCACTGCTGAGGAGTTTATCCTTCATCCGTTGCCACACGCTTTGGGACACGCCCCATTTGCGGTATGCCACTCGCTTGCTAGGAAAAACACCCGTGGACTCATAGGCCTTTTGGACGGCCACCTCTTTCTTTTTAATCTGCTTGCAACTCGAACCACCACCAGCGTTCTGTGAACCTCCAGCTTGCCCGAATTCAGATCGCATGCCTTGCAAAGCTTTCCGATCGATCTTCTTCACTCCGCGTCTGGAAGATCCCAGCGCTTCAACAACCTTGGGGGGCAAGCGCTTGCGCGCTGCCGAGGCCTGCGACTTGTGCGTCGCGCCGCTCGCAGCCTTGCGAAGGGCAGTGGCGTACCCTTTCTGCGAACCCGACCCAGATGCCAGCTGGAGTGACGATCCAGCCTGCTCATCTTGCACCAGCAACGCTGGTTTCACAAAAAAGAATGCAGAGCTGTATTTCTTCTGCAGGCTGGCATATGCGTTATCGGCGATCTGCCCCCCATTGTGCATCCTTTCAATAAGGTCCGCCAAAATCTCCAGCGACAAACCAGTCCTCTTCCACAAGTATCCGTGCGCTTGTAACACACGGGTACAGTGGAAAACGCCAGGAACCCGCGAAGGCCCGTTACCGCCTTGATTACAGATTGCAGTCTGCCCACCGAGGCACAAAGCTACCCAGTCATACTCCTTATCGAGCTGACGCACGAAGTTTTTCAAGCAGGGAACCACGTCTGAAGTAGATACATTCGATGCCGTTGTGACATCGTCCTCAAGGATCAAGGCAAATTGCACTTTCTGCTCGTTGAAGGCTTTCTGTACTTTCAACAGGGCATTGCCGTGGCTTTGGCTGCATCCATATTGGCCCCAAATGAAAGTGGAGCCGTGAGCCGCCAGTTTTCCTGGACGAAACTTCGAAACGATCCTTATCTTTTTCTTTGTTTTTTTGCTCACCTTGTCATAGCTTAAGCGGTAAGTGGACGCACTTTGTTTGACGCATCTTCCACCTGAAAGTAAGCAACTCTGTCCGTCCGTTGCAACAATTCTCTCCGGCTTTACACCGATGCCTTTGCAAAAGAATTTGGCTTTGCGCCAACGCTCAGTCTGTCTGACCAGATTAATCACCAACACCAGCAAAGACTTCGCAAAGTTACGCATCCGACAAAAGGACTACTATGCCTGACAACTATTATGTGAAAAGGCGAGCTATGGTTTGCATCATTGAACAAGGCTAGCATATCTTTGGGCAGGTCTGTGTAGATGAGGGTGCCTGTGCAGTTCCGAGAGTTGGTTTGATGAAACTACCATGCTATAGAATTCTGAAATTGAAATGTAAGTGTTGAAATCAATCTGATTGTTTTTTGGTGGCAGTGATTGTTTTGAGCTGCGGAGCCATGCTTCCAATGAAAACCGCCCAACAAAAGCGCTGCAAACTTCCAATCTGAAACCTCCGATCTGACTCTGTGATTCCCAAAGCCTCCAAACCTCCGAACCAAACGGTTGTCACTGGGAACTCTCCGCGCGGGAAAAGAGCTCGTTGTAGCAGAGGTCGTACCTCGAAACAAGCCCGCTGACAACCTGAGAAGCTGCAAAACGAAAGCCAGCGCTTCCCTTTCTCGAGAACTGCGCGTCGAAGCATAGGATAGAAAGGTAGGTCTGCACCCTAGATCCACCATCCCACTCCATTTTCTTTCATTTCTCTACGGCAGCTCCGCTTGGCATTTGCCAGGTGGAGGCGGCCGTGAGACCTCTTACACACCTACACAAGTTCAAAGCACGAATGAGACTTCAAAGCTGTGGATTGCTGTGCGTGTGTAGAGGCTATCGAGCGGTTGACGGAAAGGGAACTTGAAGTACTATACCTGGTAGCTGCAAGCAAGGTGCCAACTACACCTTTATTTTCAAGGTGGCCTGAACAGAGTGTTTCAGGGCAGTAAACCGTGGTCTCAGGCCACCTTGAATTTAGCTTGAAAA